CGTTCAATTTTAACAGGGGGCACAAAGGAACAGAACTAGCAGCTACTACTTTTACTTACAGAAAATACTAAGAAATACACTCCTGAGAGTCTTCCGGTTCTGCAAAAAAAAAAAAAAAAAAAAAAAAAAAAATACAGGGACGCCAACAGGCAGGTGGAGCGGGAGCGGGGCGGGGAGAGCGTGCGCAGGCGCAATAGCAACGCCGTAGGTGTGAGGCGGGACTAGACTCGCGGTTAAAGGACAGCTCCAGCAGCCAATCAAATGAGCGTATCGGTGGCTTCTTCCTGGAGGGGGCCGGAAGTCCGATTCGAGCGGCGGTGGCGAAAGCTACACAGTGTAGAGCTGAGGTGGGTGGGCGGCGACGGCGTATGGTTCCAGGCCCGGTGAGTTGCTCCCGTCCGGCCTCTCGGCTTCTCCGGCGCCGACTGGACACCGGGAGACCTGGCGGGGTCCGGCCCCGAGGCGGCGGCGCGCCGTCCCCTCCTCCCGCCTAGGAGACCCGCTGTGCGGTCGCGGCGAGGCATCGCCCTCCCGGCCTCAGGAGATGGAGCGGCCGCCGTCGCTGCCCTCTGGGGGGCAGCGGGGAGGTGGGCGGGGCGGAGGGCGGGGCGCAGGTCCCAACCCCTGGCCGGGTCCCGGGGTCTCGGGGCCTGAGCCGCAGCCCCGCGGCGGGGCGGCCCTGCAGGTGGGGCTCCGAGAGCCCCTGGGGTGGATAACGGACACCCCGGCGGCCCTGAAAGTTCAGGCTCGAAGGGGCAGAGAAACAGTTGCTGTAGCGCAAGTTCTTATCGTCCCGTGGCGTAGCGATTGGTGAAAGTTGGTGCTTTGAAGCGAGGAAGACCTTGGAATCCTCAGCTGTAAATTGCGATAGTGTTTCCCTCGCAGAACCGTGTAGCTCGTGGAAGGTGTAAAACGATGGCCCCTTGTGTATTGGTTTTGGGGGAATTGGCACCTTTAGTGATGGGTTTCCTGTGGGGATCCCCAGAGCTTGCGGGCTGAAGAAGAGCTTGGGTGAGCGGGAAACTAGGGCTTTCTCAAGTTTTATTTTGAATTTCCAGATCAGGGTTAGTTGTCTGGCGCTGGTAGTGCGCTATGAGAAGAGAATATTTTTGTTTTAGGAAAGTACATTTAAATATTTGGGGATTAATGGATGAGAAACCACAAGGAGGAGGGAAAAGGTTAACCTTTGGAAAATTAGAGTCAAGAACATAAAATATTCTTTGTAAATTCATTAACTTTTCTGTAAATGTGAATTTTTTAAAAGTTTAAAGAAGTCATATACTATTTGTAACAAAAATAAGCATGTTGTAATCAATTGCAACATCAGGTAAGTTTTAATAAACCCTTCACCCATGAATTCTTTATAGTATAATTATATTTCACCCGGTTCTCATATTGATAAATGGCTTATTTTAAGCTTTTCCCACCTTTTAAAAACGGTGCTGCATTAAACATCCTCGTGTACAACCTTGTGTGCTTGTACCAATATTTTATGGTGAAGGAATCCCCCCCCTCCCCCGTACCAGGGATCAAACTCAGGACCTAGCGCTTACCAGGCAGGCACTTATTCCACTGAACTATCTCCCCGGCCTCTTATACTAGTATTTTATGGGATAAATTTCTGAAAGTGGAATTGTTGCTTCAAGCCTACTAGCACTTACATTTTTGATGATGACAAATTAAAATGTGTTAGTTGTGTGTTTAGATTGCCCCATATTCTCTTGGGTGCTGCTGACCTAGCACCTATAGGAATTGTGCAGTGGCTGGGATGGTGTGTTCTGAGAGATGGTGAGTGGGAGCCCTCCACCTCAGGTAGGGCATCCTGGAGTGCGCACAGGGAGGGAAGGGCTTGCTCCTGAAATTGAAAGGAGCACTCTTTTAAAAACTATGACCTCTGGGGCCAGGGAGATGGCTCAGTAGAATAAGCACTTCCCTGAAAAGTGCAAGGGTCTGAGTTCAATCCCCGGTTCCACCAAAAAAAAACCAAAACAAAAACTAACAAACCTATGACCTCTGCTGGATCACAGAGCCTGCCCCTCAGGAAATGTTCTCAGGTACAATGTTAGAAACCTGGAGGGTCTGTTAGATGGAGAAAGTTGCAAGGCAAGCAGCATGAACATTTGGTAGAGGAGGAGAGGCAAAGTCAGCAATGGAAATTGCCCCCTTGTCTCTCCGCTCAGCCCTTGCACACCACCTGGCCTGTGGGTCTTGGAATTACCACACCTGCCCTCAGCATTGCACAAATTCCAGATGTGTTACTTGGCCTGTCTGACATTGCCCTACCTTGAAACTGACCAGATCAGTCTAAAGAGAGCGTGGGACTCAGATTACCTACTCTTGAAATGGAGTAAGTGGAATTCCCTGTGGTTCTACAATTCATGGTAGCTAACTCTCAGCAGAGGCCCATGTGCCCATCAACAGATGAATGGATAAAGGGAATGTGGTATTTACACCACAGGGTACCAGTATGTCATGAGGAAGGCTAGACTTACTGTACAAAAATGGATGCAGCTTGAAACTAGTATTAAGTGAAACAATTCAGACACAAATTAATATCAGGGTTTTTCTTCAAAGAGAAATCCAGAGTAAATAAAGAGAAAAATAAGAGATAACAGGAATTGAGAGACAGAAGATTCTTAGCAGGGAAGGCAACCAGGCACTTGCAGGAGAGAGAGGGAATGGAAAAGAGGAATTGGTGTATGTGTGTAAATGTACCAACACACAAGGGAAAATACGTGGCTCCTTGAGAATATAATTCCTACAGAGGACTGGTAGCCTTTTCCTGTTGTAAATACTAATTTTAGAAACTAAAGAGGGCTGGAGATATAATGCAGCAGCATAACGCCTGCGTGGCAAGTGTGAGAGTGTGAGTTTGCTTTCTGGTACCAAAAAAAAGAAACTGAGGAGATCGTCTTGTCTTGAACCCCAAACTCTCAGAAGAAGAAAGGAAATAATGTTGTTATGACATGAGGTGGAATTGTGTTGCAGCTGTACCCTAAACCTTTGGTCTGTTCCTGTAGGTTCTTGATCGTCCACCATGGGTGAACCACAGCAAGTGAGCGCACTCCCTCCACCTCCAATGCAGTACATCAAGGAGTATACAGATGAAAATATTCAGGAGGGCTTAGCCCCTAAGCCTCCCCCTCCAATTAAAGACAGCTACATGATGTTTGGCAACCAGTTCCAATGTGATGATCTTATCATCCGCCCTTTGGAAAGTCAGGGAATTGAACGGCTTCATCCTATGCAGTTTGATCATAAGAAAGAACTGAGAAAACTCAATATGTCTATCCTTATTAATTTCTTGGACCTTTTAGATATCTTGATAAGGAGCCCTGGGAGTATAAAACGAGAAGAAAAACTAGAAGATCTTAAGCTGCTCTTTGTGCATGTGCATCACCTGATCAATGAATACCGGCCCCACCAAGCACGAGAGACCTTGAGAGTCATGATGGAGGTCCAGAAGCGCCAGCGGCTCGAGACAGCAGAGAGGTTTCAGAAGCACCTAGAACGAGTGATTGAGATGATTCAGAATTGCCTGGCTTCTTTGCCTGATGATTTGCCCCACTCAGAAGCAGGGATGAAATTAAAAACTGAATCAATGGATGCTGATGACAGCAACAACTGTCCTGGACAGAGTGAACAGCAAAGAGAAACTTCAGGCCACAGGAGGGACCAGATTATAGAGAAAGATGCTGCCTTATGTGTCCTTATTGATGAAATGAATGAAAGACCTTGAAGGGCTTTCTGTTCTTGTTTCATTTTGGTACATAGTGTTGTAAATTAGTTTATTTTCTTTTAGTGTTAAGAGGTACTGTATAACAAAAAACAAGGATTTTTTTTCCTAATTCCATCTTTTCAGTGACACTGTAAGCAGTAATTTCACTGCATAATAAAAGTAGCCAATTGAGTGCACCTCAGTTAAGAGTGATTACCTTAAAAAGCAAAATATTTACTATTGTGTGGAAGATTCCTATTTTTTTCTTTTCTTTTTTTTTTTTTTTTTTTTTTTGAGATTCCTATTTTTGAAGTTGCAGTACAACTGAAGATGTCCTCCATAGTAGGAAGCTTTCATCTTTGAAAAAGTAAATTTGTTATTTGTTGTAACAATGATGAATAAAGGATATTGAGGTGTACGTGTAGAATCATGAAACCTTTAACTTCATTAAAAATTTTGCTTTATCTTCAAAAAGTAATATAAAATGCTAAGAGAAGAACTCAGTAGAGTTATATGACTTTTCCTTGTGACTCTAGCTGTAAATCACCCTTGCTCTCTTCTCTCTGCCTGCATGAAATGGCAGGGTGGCGGTCCCCTAAGTGTTCTTTTGGCCAGTTACTCAGATAATGAATTGAGTTCCATGGATTCATTTTAGTAATCGAGATGACCATGTAGTTAATTCCACATTTCCTTTTATAATAGCTCAGGTTTACTTAGGGCTGGAAGTCTGCAGCAGGAAAAAGGAGTGTTAGCAGGGACTGCTAGACCTTTGTCTATGAAAGGTTTTTGCTTCCTTTTAAGGTAATGTTGAGGGGTGGCCGCCCAGTCAGGAACTTCATACCCAAAATGTGGCCTTATAAGTATAAAGTGTTTTGGAGAATGGAATAATATGCGTGTAGGAATCCAGGTCTACCTCATTAAAATTTCTTGCACGATCCTCATTTTCTTCTACCATTTCCTGGTTAGGTTAGGCGCATTTAGGATATCTTCAGAAGCCACTGGAAGATGGCAAAAATGTAGTCACTTTGGTTCCTTCAAGGAGGACTAGGGCTTTTGTTAATTACACATCTCCGAGCAAATTTGATTTTATGTGAGCAAAAAATAAACTTGTTTTTAGTACTGAGGTTTTATTTGCACTTTTTTCCTCCTTCCACTCCATCCCTCTTTGACGAAGGTCTTGGTGGAGAGGTGGTCTTATATCTGAGCTCTCTGCTACGTTGGTTTTGTCTAGGCCAATGATTCCCAAATTGTCCTAGGTCAGCCACATCAGTACAGAGGACAAATTCTGACCCTACTCCAGAGCCTTGGAGGCAGCATCCAGAAAGCTGTGTTGTTTTTAAGCCTTCCAGGTGATTATGATGTAAGCTTAAGGATAAGAACCATTGGTAGAGGTAATGCTTGCTTAGGTGTCTGCTTTTAATTACTTGTTTCTTTTTTTAAAATGTATTTATTACAGGGTCTTACTACATAGATCAGACTCGTACTGATCCTCTTGTTTTCAGCCTCCCAAGCACTGGGATTACAGGTGCGCGCCACCACATCCAGTCTCAGTCACCATCTCAGTGTGCCCTGGGGGAGGGGCCAACAGCATGGGGATGGAACCCTGGTCCCCTAGTGTTGGCCTAAGCAGGTGCCTTAGTCTGCTGAGCTATCTGGCTGGCCCTTTTACTCATCTGGTTTCTAGCAAAGAATTTGTTTCATTAAGGTCTAAAGTTGGGTGTGGTGGTGCATGCTTGTAATCCTAGCACTCAGGAGGCTGAAGCAGGAGTATTGCCATGAGTTTGAGTCCAGCCTGGGCAATATAATGTAAGGACAACCTGAACTACATAGACCTTGTCTCAAAAAAGGAAAAAAGTCAAAGTTTTACTGTCCTTGACACTGGTGCGGTTCTGTTTAAACGAACTACAGGCTACTTCTGTGAAACTCTTTACATCTGTCACCTTCACCAATTTTGGATTTACCAGGGTTTTCCCAAATAAGACACCTGTTTATCAGACTGGTACCATAGTAGATCACCAGTCTTAACTTTTAGCTCCAGACCTTTGGGCTGCCAAGTGTGGTAGTGCACACTTATAATCCCAGCACTCCGGAGACTGAGGCAGGAGGATCATTGCAAGTTTGAAGCCAGCCTGAGTTGCATAGTGAGTTGAAGGCCAGTGTGAACTACGGAGAAATGCTGGCTCAAAAACAAACAAACAACCCGTCCTCCAAAACCCAGACCTTTGGGCTCCAGAGACTCCAGAAATCCAGTTCAGGATTTCAAGTTTCCCTTGGAGTGAGGGAGCAGCCCCTACCCTAATTGCACAGTACTGAGCAATTCTCTAAAGATTTGTCTCACCTTCAATTCTTATAGCTTGGTGGAGGGTGTTGGATACAGCACAAAGCGAGTTTGGGGCCACTGCTTACGTCCTGAAATACAAAAAGTGGAATCACTGGCATCATTACTAGTCAGTGTTTACTTACGACGGTATGTTGAGGAGGCTGAGGAGTTGTAATGCTCTTGAGAAGCCTGGAGAGTGATCTCGAAGTGCATGAGATCTGACATTAACTCTTAGCGGAGTCTCCAAAACAGACCCGGGTTCTCATGTGAGAACTTGTACCACAGCTGAAGGAGACAGTTCCAGGAAGCTGTATTTTTATCACCTTTCATGTGAGTATGACAAGCTCAGATTAAGAATCACTGCTGTGGGGCTGGTGAGATGGCTCAGTGGTCTAAAGCACCTACTTAGAACAAGCTTAGCAACGCAAAGGGACCACGGTTCAATCCCCCAGCACCACATGCCAGCCAGCCCCACGCCCCTGGTGGGCTGAGCTGGCCACACACACACACACACACACACACCCCCAAATAAATAAATAAAATTAAAAAAAAAATCACTGCTGTTTCTTTGGTGTCTGCTTTCAATTACTGTTAGTGATCTGACAGTTGTAACAAGTTTAAAGGTACCTAAGACTGTTCAATTGTGCATTAAATAAAACACAGCTCTGGGTTGGTCATAGTGACACCTACTTGCAATCCCAGCACTTGGGAGGCTGAGGCAGGACAATGTATATGAGTTCAAGGGCAGCCTGGGCT